CGAATCATGTACAGTATGTTAAAGTCAAGCCTGAACGTAGCAACGCGTTTAAAGTGCGGCTACAGAAAAATCCTACACGTACGCGTCCAGATAAATGGAATATCTTTAATACTTAAGATCTCTTAAACAGCTGTCAGCAGTACAGTAACCATCATAAGTAGTTTCAGGTGACGTCAGATTGTCTGTCTCGCTTCTTGGACTTGGGGTCACTTGCTTGGTGTCAGTAGGTTTGATGATTCACATCGTTCGTTGTTCCACGTAATCGGCTATGAGATTTACGCTTTGTACAGACGCCGAATGAACTGCTGTGAGTCATTCCTCTGAGTAAACGGAAATTATTAAGGCCCGAAAAGTGTGCAGTTATTAGAGTAGGCTATGATTATTTCGAAAAATGAGACTCAAATGATGAAAATGTAAAACGTGAAATACTTCACTTCTTCTTGTCTTTACGGATTACCCAATTTCATGGCTCAAAAATCATTTTCTTTCCAGCTTTTCACGCACTCGGCTCCTCAGTAATGTTACTACGTCGTTTATCATTAACCACAGATCGTGCACACCCACCTATGGGCTAGCTGTTACTTCTACCTTCAGATTTCATTGAAAAATGAAAAATTATTTTTGTGTACACGTTTTAGAATTCTTCGTTACATAAGCGTGTTGTACAATAGGACAATAGTTTTAATACGGGACGCATGGCACTGAAATAAGCTACTATCTCCTCTTTCTTTCAATTTACCGTCATATGTGACGTCATCCATTGGCACACCTACACTTAACGCATTTACACGACGTTAGTGTTGTCATTGCGCTGACAGAATTTCTGTCAGATGCTGTCTTACTTATATCTGTAACCTTAAATATTCTTTCCTCTACAGTGGAACTGATTTTATGCAGCGTTGTCCAGCCCAGGGTTCTAGTCCAACATATAGTGTACCGAGATATTGGCTAAATGAAATATAAAACCTGCTTTTTTCTTCTTCAGGAAAATTACTTGGTCCGACAGGATGTGCTTCCGTTGCAGATGTGGTAAGTCCATGACTCAAATCCAAGTCTTGCTCTATAATGACGTGTTAGATATATACATAATATCACAGGCAGGACTCTACAAACTCACATTATATGTGGCCTCTGAAGTTCAACATAACTTAGGGCCACGGCTCGTCTAAATCAGGTTCTGATGTAACCTGGTTTGTGCTTTTATGGCTTGGATTCGCAGGGTGTTTAGCTTCGACGTTTCGGTTTATGGGCTTCATAGGTTGGAGACAGAGGACGATGGTGCAAATGGTAGCATAATGAACAGGAGAAGGAGAGAGAGAGAGAGAGCACTTCAGTGTTGCCTTAATGACGGTGTAGTGAGAAAACCAAAGACCAATTCCGTGTCTTTCCTAGTGTAGCTACAAGGGTTCTGTGTTATTTCCTAGAATACTCACCATTCTGGCATTCCATCGTCATGTAAGCATAATATAACTGTCTGGTTAGCCATATCTTGGAACAATAAGGTGACGAACAAACAGTGACTCACGGTTCCTGAAATGGAGCAACTTTACTACACTTGTTCAGAGCTTACAACATTAACACTTCAGACTCACCTCCGTGAAAACCTCAAATCCCACATGATTTCGAATTGTCTTTGGTTCCTACAAGCTAACCCGGATTAGTCTATGAAAATAAGTCAAAATCATGTAATTTTAAGCCGCACAATCTCTCCAATTGATGCAGTGCCATTGAATAGCCAGACACTCGGCATTTACAAGATATTTTTACTAGGTCTAACTTTATGGAGCAGAGACTTCAGCTGCTCAATACTTTTTCCGTCTTCAATGGAACGGCGTTGTTCATTGCCGTGTTTACAAGAGCCCGATATTTTTTCCTTTTGTGAGCGAATTGAAGCCAGTTCACATTCTCACGACCTGTTTCTTTATCTTCTTATATAGGCTTTTCAAATGAGATCTACACTTCAGGTAACCTACTAAACTCATGCTTGATGTAGTTACATGTCCTCAGATAAATCAGTACGGAAACTGTGTTTATTTTTTTAAAGCATGTGTATGTTATGTGCGTATTCTTTTACTTAGATCGGTGGCAGGATCGCCCCTGGACAAGTGTTGAGGCAGTAGAAATGGATTTCTTGCAACGGAGTATCGGGATTCTTTGGGTGAACGTCCGCTGGAAGAGGAGGGAAACAAGATGAAGGAGGAAGAGATAGAAATCCTTCTAGAATTTGAAGGGAAACTGAATATCGGGCCGGGGAAATGAAACAGCCTGGTGTCTTAATACGGCAAAAGTTAGTAATTGTAATACTAAGAAAACTCTTTCTCATAATGATGATGGCTGTTACTTTCAGAACCAATCAAGTATATTTTAAGGGGGTGATGGATTTTATATTCGGTCCATGGCCTCCTCAATTCTCCTCTTCCATTCGGTCCTCTGTTAGGTACGTCTGTCCGAGGCTTTGATTGAAGAAGAAGAAGATGGATTTTATAATAATAAGAATGTTGTATCTCAACTAATATTACCGCTTTTGTGACGAGGAACATAATGTGTTTGTATGCGGCATCATAATTCCGTTTATTGGCCACAGACACCGGCGCCCTCACAGGCTAGATAACCACTAATGAGAAAATAAATGTCCAAACACACCGCACATAATATTGTAACATTGAGTCATTGCATTTTATCTACACATAAAATGATCGTATTGAAAAAATTAATTTATAACACACATCTTACGAACCCCTTGACATTTTGAGGGTTCGTCAAATAGACAAGAGGAGGGATGTAAATGTAGAAATATGTGTATTTACTTCTCCTCTACCCCTCCCACCCTTTCAGTGAGAGTTTGGCAGTGACGATGGTTTCTGATAACCGAAGGGTGTTTGTCTGAGGCATGGCGAGGAAACGGACAGTTTCGAGGTATCGTGACTTTTATTTGTATGTTTTGAACTTCAGAAGTAGAAAGTTATTTTTATTATAGTTTCTGTGCTATTTCTGGTACAAAATATGACTTGCTTTGATGGTCATTATAGGATTGCTTTTGTTCTCGGCTTACTTGACGTGTTGAATTTCTGTAAAACGTACCGTGGTGACTTACTGAAACTTAATGCAGCAGTGAAAGACACTTGATGAAGAAAGCAACATCGCCGTTGTAAGTAGCCATACTCGAAATGTAACTTATAGAAGAATTCATGTTTATGTAACTGATACATTTTTCTGAAAAAAATAATTTCTGTATTAATTTCTTTCCTGAAAGCTTTAAATTCGATTACAAACCTTAAAGATGTGTGAATAGTGTTTGGTCAATTCCAGTGAAGATTGTTTTGGAAAAAGAAAAGATCGTCCAGTAATTTGGCACAGTATGTCTCTTCATAAATCTGCATTTTGTGGCTGACTGAGAAGAGGGGAACTTCCGAATTAACAGCTAGCTGTTACCCACCAAGTTTTCAAGCATAAATGTTCATTAACAGTATTTATTAATTATAAAAGAAAAATTTACTAAGTGTTTTCAGTTCTTGCATTTCCCGGATATTTCACAGTACAGGGTGATTCAAAAGGTTAGGGCCAAATTGAAGGAGCGTATAGAGGGACTCAGAGAGAACAACTTTTGAATAGGAATCCATGTCCTCCGAAGTTATCCTGAGTCAGTCGAGGCCATTGAAGTTAGAGAAGTCTGATGATATACCGCTGAAATAATTGTACTTTGCTATTCTCCTACTAGCTTAATTTTGAATCACACGTATCACGTTAGATTCTACAGAGGCCGCTGGGCTGTTTACATTGTGTTTGTGAGTGCGCCAGAGTTTCGTTCGCCGATGCAATGCCTACATTGAATGTGGAGGACGCCACTTTGAACATTTGTTGCAAATTTGGTTTGTAAGACTGCTAATGTAATCCTTGTACATTAATAAAAAACAAAATTACTAGGTTTTCTATACCAAAGACTCCGTCCGTCCGTCCGTCCATCCATTCCAGTAGTTACTAAAGCTCCCGTTCTTTCCCCGAGTATTTCTTATAATAAACCGTAGTGAAATAATGTTCAACATAATTGTTGTCCAGTGACAAATTAATTTGCTCAAATCGTGAAGATTCCTCTGGTTTCATGGTACGCAGTTTGAGAACTGACCTAGTGTTTATCATTGATAAGTCTGCCGTCGAAACTAGATGAATGTCCTCAAACGCTGATGAAGTTACCGTTCTAATTGACACCAGATAATGTGAACGTGATTAACAGAATGTTCTCTTAAAGACGAAAATATATCTCATATTTTGTTGAGGAATATGAGTATGATATTGTTTTCAGTAATAGGTCGTTAAACTTTGAAGTGAGACTAGTATCAATCTAGAAAAATAGCCAGACAGCATCGGTGATGGGATATGAAACGAGAGAGGAAAACCGAAACTGAGAAACACATTCGACATTGTAAGTACAATTAAACCTAACCGTTTCAAATAGGCTTGCTTCTAGTAACGGGTTTAAAATTTGGAGGATTCAGTTTCCAAATACATTTTTTGTGAATTTGATAATTTATTGTTGGCAGAGCTAATTATCAGTACAGATATTATATCCGTATAGAAGTAAAAATGGTTTTTCTTGCGAGCCAATTTTAGTAAATATACATCATATATAAAACATGTAAAATAAAATGTAAAATACCTCATTTAAGTATCTATGAATCTGCAGTTAGAGCCAACCTCTGAGAATGACCTAAAGCTGATGTTCTCACTTAAATGTGCTTCATTAGTGGGAGGTCAAAAATAGGAGTATGTAATATGTAAATGAGGAAGAAGTGCCATTTAACTTTTAACCACATTTTCTTGACTGTTTCCTCATTATTTTTAAATATTACTGCAGATTATAAATGTGAATTGTGTGCCAGAATGCAAGTTTAATGTATGAAAAATAAACAGCAGATAAAAAAATACTATATCAATTTAAATAAGGCATTTTTCAGTTGAAAAAGAATGCAACATCTTTGGGGTACAAAGTTGAAGAGAAATTATATCTGGGGTACACGAACAAAAAAGGTTGAATACCGCTGCTATCAATCATCATGGGTGATTGTACAAGTGGAATAAAACTCGTCAGTAACACCGAAGATTCTCAATATTTATTCTAAATAGTAGAGCAGATTAACTGCCTGGAACACTTCCCTCCTTGAGGAACTAAGAATTGTTCAAGTAGTCAAGAAATTCCCACCTTTATGGAACCCAAAAGCTCATTACCATATTTACAAGATTTTCCAACTGGTTTAGTTTGACAAATTCCATTTGCAAAATCATCCTGCTTCTTTTGAGATTAATTGTAATATGATCCTTCCATTTAAGCTCAGGTCTAGCAAGTGGTCTTTTTTCTTCCAGTTTCTCAACCAAAACTTTGTACATAATTCTCACCTCACATAAGTACAATGTGATATGTTATGTTAAATTTTATTCTCCTCTCTTTTACAGATTCTGTTAATCTGCCAGAAGATGTGGCTCAGAATTTTATCTCAAGACCAACTACTTACAGAACAGCTGCAATAGTACTTAACAGCAACAAGTCGAGCTGAAGTCTCATTGTTTGATTCAGGAGTGAAAACTGAAGTATTCCTTTAGCATATATTTCTTATTGAAATTGACACTTTATTTACACAAATAGATTAAAAATAAATCAAATGGCAGCAAAACAGAATGGTATGAATTTTGTGCTTAATACAAATGTTGACATCTCAAAGGAAGCCAAGGAACAAGTCAAGGAAGAAAATGAATTTTATGGTAATAAAGTTGCACTTGCAGATGATTCACTCAGTTTTCAAGAGGATGATACTCTAGTATCAGAATTACTGAAGGATGATGAACCTGATGAAGCTGACAATGCAAGTAATGCAGAAAAAGTAACAGAAAAAGATGAGGATGTGAACAGTGTGGACAGAGCTTCTAGTAGCAATGCAGACAATTTTACTCCAGCTGTTTTAGAAGTAAATGATGATGTCGTGAAATATGCTTCTTTTAGCACATCAGATGAAAGAAACAATAATGATAATATTCCTACATCATCTTACAAAATGAAAGTATTAGAAGTAAATGCAGAACTGTCTAAACATAACCTCCCTGCAAATCTTCTTATTGCAGTGAGCCTTGAAGGAAGCAGTCAAAACAGCGAAGGTTGCAGAAGTACAGACAGTGCAAACAAATTTGAAGTTGAAAATGGTGGATGTGTGGAAGGTTTTGCACCTGGTGAAACATCAAGAATAATGAGAAATGTAATAGTGATTAGTATAGCATTTATGGTACATTTCACTGCTTTCTGTGGCACAAGCAACTTACAGAGTTCAATAAACGCTGTTGGAGGACTAGGTACTGCATCACTCATGTCCATCTATGTTTCTATGATGATCTCCACCATCTTTCTACCAGTCATTGTCATCAGGTTAGTCATATTTATTATATATTATGGTTTATTTGTACGTTATTTGTTTCTTACATTTGTTTTACGATAGTGTACAGACTTTTTGCAAAGTTGACAGACAGGTTCTGACACTCTCCTCATGGAATCTGATGTAGACCAGTCTCAGTTCAGGCAGAATTTTCTTAGAGCTACCTCATATTTTGTATTATATGAAGTTAATTGATTCTTGGTGTATTTAAAAATTGTACTTTAATTGCATATGTCATAGAGTATTGAAATAAAGGAGTGGTGAGTAAGTAGGAATTTGGGAAACTTTGACTGTGGTATATTGAAAGATATTATCCTAACATTACTTGGAAAGACTGATGGAAACCATAACCTCAGTCAATATAACCAGTTGCCTAGATGCAACGAAAGAAACTAAATATCATTATTGCATAACAGTAACTGTTACCATGCTATTAACATGTTGTCACTTCTTTCTGATTGATGTACAGGTGGTTGGGTTGTAAATGGACCATGGCTGCATCATTGATATGCTACGTGCCATACATTCTTGCACAAGTATATTCACGCTTCTATACACTGATACCAGCAGGATTTCTTGATGGATTGGGTGCAGGCCCATTGTGGTGTGCTAAATGTATTTACCTCAATGTGGTGGCAGAGATGTACTCCAAGATAACTGGTGTGTCAGTTGACACAGTACTAGTGCGATTCTTTGGTATCTTTTTTATGATCTATGAACTGTCTGAAGTGTGGGGAAACCTCATTTCATCTGCAGGTACTAAGATTGCTCCTAGAATAACAACATACAATTGTGCCTTGGTAATTCAGTTAATAAAATGATGGCTGCAAACTAAGTGGTTGAATACTGGTTGTGATAGGAATGCAAGGATTTTTCCCATCACCACCATGCACAAGCTGGTTTTGTGATTTACTCTGCTCTTCTTAAATGAATACCAGAGGATTTTCCTCAGGCACAAAGTAGATGGAACACAAAGTGTCAACTCTGGAACTGAGATTAAGAAAGTGAAAATCTTAACCTCCATTTTCTCTCGCTTTTTCATGATAGAGTACACAGAAATAACTTTATTTTTTCATATTGAAAAGTTTTATTGTTAATGTGTAATTGGATAACCTACAGGGTTAAAAACAAATTCAAAAACAAGACATTCAAGCTTCATTATTATAGAAGTTTGGAACAGTATCTGTTTATTTGTATTGTTCCTTTCGGGTGTAGTCAAGTTGCAGTCAAGCCAGAATGGTGTTCTATTGCATTTTTAATGTGCACTCTGACATGTGAGAATAGCAGTGAGACATTACTTATTAGTAGAGCTTTCCTTCTAGTGTTTTGTACTAGTGCATCATATTGGCACATTTTTATGATCAAAACAAAAATTTGGAAATGACTTCAAATTAATAAACTGTGCATTCAAGATACTGCTTTGCTGACACACATGAAATGCAGTAACTCTAGAATGGAACATTTTAAATATTTAAAATATATACCCCTCCCCCACTTCTTCCTTTTAATAAAACAAGAACCTTTGTTTGTAAAAAAGAGCACTACATATTAATTGTGGCACCATAGTAGAGGAAACATATTTCACACCCTATATTGCAAGATCCTGAACTCAAATTTGAGCCCTTTGTTCTGGATCCTAAGTATTAGATGGTTTAACATTCCTTTACTACTGATTTTCACATCCTCTGGGTAGCTGTTCATTTGCCAGCTTCGTAGAATACTATGACACATATGGTATACTCTCATACGTGTACTCTCTTTCAGTACTGTCTGTTGGAAAGACAAATGTGAACATGTCAATTGATCTAGGAGAGGTATGTGGTGTTAACTTTTATCCTGGAAGTGAATTACTGGCTAATCCTAACCTTGAGAGGCCACCTGAAGGAAAGATTTGGACCTTTGTACTTATCTACCTTGGTTGCATGGTTCTTGCTAGCTTGATCATCACATTTGGTGTTGATTCTCTAAAAAGGTGAGATTACATATAAACAATATAATAATTATATAGTAGACTAGTTTATAAGTAACAGTACAATATCTGTCATTATCTTTAATTAATTATATAATTTTCCTTTTTGAAACAAGAAAACAAATTATTTCTTCAACATTAATTAAATTTTAAATTTCATAACTTTTTTTGTGGTTTACATTACTTGTGCCACAAAAGTTTTGTGATAGATCTATCTGGATCTGAGATTCAGAACGTTTCTCATAAAACCCTGCAAATGCTATTAGAATGATAGGTCAAACCTTCCACTGCCAGTGACATTACTCAGCCAGTACTGTAAGTCAGGTTCTGGTAGACTGCCATTATTAGATCTGGCTGATATTTAGAAGTCAGTCTTCGATTGAATGTGAGATGGCACAAACATAAATTTATTGTATTTTAAAAACTTTCTGTGTTCTAACTTGGTAACGAATGATTCTCATGTTGGTGTTACTTAATTTATCTGTGATATTAGACTTAGCTGTAAGAGGGTGGATACATTTATAACATAAAATAGTTATAAGAATGCATGTTTAAATCTTCCTCAGACCAGAATTATAAAAACCTTTTTATCTTTTACAAAATAAGCATTGGGATGTGATGCCTTTTGTCTCACGGATTAAGCTCTCTTTAATTTGTGGTTCATGTGGCAGGTATAATGAGGCTGGCCGTGTGGGCAGTGGTGCAGGTATGACTGGAGTACAGTTGCTGATTGTGACAATCAAACTCCTCAAGGATCCCAAGCAATTGTTATTACTTCCAATCACAGCATGGCTTGGAGTGGGGCAAGTCTTCAGGGGCTCTGACTTCACTATAGTATGTACAAGTTCATGAAAAGCAGGTTAATGTAACTGTGACACAGGTGGCTAGTTTTTTGGAGATACTGCTTTGAATCTCTTCTTTATCACCAACTGTTCTGGCTGAGGTCTTACCACTGCTCCTCTTCCTCTGTTTCTTACCATATTTTTCCCAACCTCTTGTTCCCTTCTTAATCTCAATCTGCTTCTTTGATGTTTTTCTTTTACTTTCATATTGACATGCTTTTTTCAGAATTATCTCATTGTTCATTTATTAAACATATCTGTACCATATTAGTTTGTTATTAGTTAGTTTCCTTCTCAGAAGCTTTCATCTTGAATTTTTTTATTTCTTATTCTTTTGGTTATTTCTTCCATATTTCTTAAAGATCTCATCTTTGTTGTCATTAGTCTACTGATAACTGTTTATGTCAAGTCTAAGTATCTGCTTTATACATTGTATGGACATGTAATAGGACTATTGATACCTTCTAATAGGCATTTTCCTGATTTTTTACACATCTTGTTTCCAGAGTATGTCCCTCACTAATTGGTAATTCTTTGTTCTGAAAATGTAGATAAATATGAGTAAAATGTTAAAAAGTAACAAGAGATTAAGAAATAATATGTGAATAGTGTTATGGATAGTATTATCTTTTTCTAGGCCTATGTCTCCTGCGCATGGGGCATTTCAAATATTGGCTATGTAATGATAGTGTATGGTGTGACCCATTCAGTATCAGCCATATTGACTGGCTACATCGTGAAGCTGACAGGAAGGCTATTCACAGTGTGCTCTGCCATGATTCTACAAATTGGTATCATTATTACATTGCTCATATGGAAACCTGAGCCTGCTGACAGTATAATGTTCTTCAGTATTTCTGGTATGTGGGGAATTGTGGATGGAGTGTGGCTTGTGCAAATCAATGGTAAGAAATTATGAAAGGTTCAGTGATGAAACAATATTTCTGCCTACAGTGCTAGTCATTGGATTTACTACTACATCCCAAAATTTTGTTATCCCTGTACACATTTATTCTTATCCCACCATAAGTGATGGGCTTCTTACTTTAGTCCTAAGTCTCACCACTGGAAATTATCTTCAACTGCCTTGCCAATTTTCATATCAATACTAAAAGCATTCAAACTTTTAACCTACCCTATTCATCAGCAAGTATATACCATTATGCAATTCAAGAAGAAATATAATTAGGACACTTGAAAACACCAGCATGAATACACCAAATATGTCTTTTGTATGTGCACATAAGCATGCACACAACAAACATGTACTTACAAATTCTCAAGATGAATTTTTCATTGGCAATTGGTACCAGGTACAGAATTGCCTCAATATTTAAACCTATGATGTAACTGGTATCTCCACCCCTTTTTAATTATGCAGGTTACTTTATCCCACATTTGGATCAGAAGAAGTTATTCTTTAGTAAGCATTTTGAATAAGTATTTGTTTGCCAAGGTATGAAACAATATCTCACAATACAAAACAATGTGCCAAGAATTGTTTTATACATTTAAGAGAATTGACTTGAAAATTGTCCCCTCTCTTTAAAATGTAGAAACATCAAATGGTTGTATGTGGAAACATATGTTTGTAAACTCATGCAACAGAAATGTTTGTAATTAGATCAGCAGTTGCTTATTTTCTGAAATTATTTCCTTCCCTAACTTCAGACAGGCAGCATACATGAAGACTGAACTCTCTGATATGTTCTGCAGCATTGTGTGGCATGCTGTTCCCTGGGAATGAAGAGGCAGCATACAGCAACTACAGAATGTGGCGCTCTGTGGGATTCATCTCAGCATATGCATACAACCCTTACTTGTGTACCAGCACCAAGATCTACATCCTTCTGGCACTACTTATCATTGGCATGGGTGGCTATATAATCATTGAATGGGGTGAGATGAACAAAAAGAGAGATAATTGCAAGAAATGAATCCAGTGATTTGCTTAATTATTTTCAAGTAACAGGTAAATTTTATTGAAGTACTATAATTATTTTAATTGGATTACACTTTTCAATGTATACTGCTTTTAAAAATTAGGTACAGTAATGAGAAGAATGAGTTGAAGTCAATATTAATATTGGTATGTGTGTGTAAGAATTCTGAAATCTAGAGATGACAGGTCTTGGCAGAATAAAATGCGTAACAGGATGGTAAGGTAAAGTAAAGTTAAGATTCATAATGCCATTTCGTGTTTTAAAATCGTTTATTCCTGAAGCACTGCACTGAGCAAAAACATCCCTGTGTTTTGTTGTTAATTTGTATGTGAAGGCTTCATTCTGCAATGGGTTATGAAAAAAAGTTTGGTAATGTTTCTGAAAGTGTTATTTGCCTAACACAAACCGTTGTGCAGTTTAATTGAACAAAAATAAATATTAGAACTGGTACTACAGTGCATTTAGTTATAAACTGAAATGCAACTGTCACAGATACATTTGTTTTCAGCACCTCTTATAACACAGGTAAGTAGATTTTGCTGGTTTTATGGATCAATACTTGACTCATATTGGGAAAAAGCAGTTCTTGGCAGTGAGTCATGCATTTTTTGCCAATGAGAGCCAGGAAGAGACAGGTGTGTTCCACGAACAAAGTGTGTTCTGCAAACTAGGTTGCATTCATGTGATTATTCAGAAATGCAACTAGTGCTAATGCAATCTATTATATTGCCCATTTTTGCATAGTTCATTGAATATATTCACTTGGTTCAAGAACAGAAATCTGTAGAAATTTTGGCAATCTAGCCTGAAACTAACAATGTTTTACCACATTGACTGCCCGATATTAGGATGTATATTTTTCTGTAAAGCATCTCTTCTTTACCGTCTGTTAAGTCTGTGGCTTTCATATAGTTTTAAAATTCCACAGCTCTATGGAGTTGCAAGAAATCAAACCACTGCCCCATACCTTGGGTTGTGTTTAGGTTTATTTCTGTTCTCAGAGTAAACAATAATTAGTTCCCTAAACATCATTAACCAACTAATCTTAGTAATGGAGACATTTCATGTTTTCTATGTGGTGTATTATTTAGATCAGAGTTCTCAACCTTTTTTGCTGGTTTACCACTAAGTCTAGTTTAACACATTAAATATACCACTAGCCAAATGCATTCAGGGAAAACTGTTATTTATGTTTATATTAACTTTTGATTTTCTTACATAGTTCGTGTACCACCAGTGGTACACATACCATATGTTGAGAAACACTGATTTAGATAATTTGATGCTTCAAAGTGTTGAAGGCCACCAACCCTACTATCATTTGACCAATATACTACACACATCCATCTCATCTGACCTCAAATTAAATCTAATGTGTATTTTCTTTATTCTGTTGTTACTGATCTGTGCATGATACTGATGTCAATGACCTGTTCTAGATCCTTGGCTTAGGTCTGTGAAGGATATATGGAATGTAAATAAATTCTATTCTTTTCTATTCTGCTATATATGGACTCTGCCGTTTAAAGTTCAAAATCATATCCCCTTTTCTAGTTGCTTATGTTGTTTAACATAACCAAATTCAAGGTTTCTGGTAATTAGTCACTACATTTCTTTTGTGGAGAAAGGTTGTCAATTCCATCCAGAAGCCCCAAACTGGAAGGTCACCTGCTGTCTTTTGCCTGCAACTTTTTTTTAATTTTTATTGTTTATTTAAGGGTGCTGTAAGTAGCTCAGCTTATGTGGCATTGGATAAGATGGTTAAAGATTGATGAATTGGGAAGTATGTGGAAGGAAACTGTCATCACCTTATTTAAGGTACTGGTACTATCCCAGCTTTCACTCAGTTTGTCTGGTATCCGAACTGAGATTTGAGCCCGCGACCACATGTTGTGGATGTACATAACACAGCTTCTCTGAGTAAACGGACAGAAATCGAAGACGATGCGCGAAAATATAAAGGAAATTAACTGCATATATTTAAATGAGGCGGGAACTTTTAAGTTCGTTCGTGTAAGCTCTAAGACAATAAAATTGCCTATATTTCTGTGATCGTCACAGAAACTATCCTGGTGAAGTCTCACGTCTGTCAAGACAGAGCTTCTTTGCCCCTGTCCACAACTAATCGATATTTTGTCTGTCGTTCGTCTAGCAGTGTGACCATGTGATCAAAAATAATTGAATAGTTTTTAAGTAATGGCTAGAAATTGCAGTGCCTTTATGTTTAGAGGAGTGTACAAAAGAATGTATGGTTTCATGTGAATATAAATAAGTGGCGTTCCGATTATTTTTTGTGACTTTTTAATTCAAGAGAGTGTTTATTGCGATTTGACCAAGGAGACCTGAATATTTGCCGGACGACGACGATCATTGTTAGTGCCTGGTAAGAACTTCATTTATGAATATTAATACAAATTAATGGTGGAACAAAACATTGAATTTTCGTTGAATTGTCATTCAAAAACATGTTAAACATGCAACATGACTTCGTTATGGCTATTTTGTGTTACCTACTGTAGCAATTAATTCGGCATTTCACCCTGTTGGTCTCGGATGTCCTAAGCGTGGATGGGTGGGTAAATTTAAATGGATCTTTAGAGGCGTGGTTTCGATTAATTGATCTTGGGATGTGGATCGGGCTCTGGTAACAATGGTGATGAACCTGCCACACACACACACACATAATCTTCACATTCGGGCTTTCACATATCGTCTCTTGTCCAACCAGATGGGGGCTAGTGCCTCACTTGATCTTGCTGTACATTATTTGGCAGAACATAACAACAGTGGGTCACACAAAGTGACAAGCCATCTTGTCCATTTGCAAACAAACATCAGCTTGATTTGTAATTCTTAGTAGTGACTTTCATACACATGAAAACAGAGATAAATACAGCAACTTTAGGCTGTCATGGATTTAGGGGAAAGACACCTAAGAGGTGTAATCAGGTTTGTCAACTTCAGTGTTTGATCAAATGATTATTGATTAAAAATGAGGCTTGTGACTGTAAAATAGTTAGGGAGATGTGGCTTGTGCTAACATCCAGTTAAGTATGTAATCGTAATTTCTTATCCATATAGTATTTCATGCAGACCATGTTAGAAGAAGTAACATATCACTCGCAACAAATCATTGCACTAGTAGTAGGTTGTGGGAAGGGAAGCTGTGTGAGACTCAAGTAATGTAAGATGAGTAATCTTGACTATAGTACTGCCTAACTTAGTTTTTCACTTGGCAACATGATACAGTCTTTCTTCAATCCCTTCATTTCATTAATACTTGTTATCTTTTACAGTGATTATACTTAAAATATGTGTTTTGAAAAATTGGTTAATAATAAATTTTGAATAAAGATTTCAAGTTCATGTTATACATTACAAGATGTTGGCTTTAAATGAAAATACATGGAAACAAGTCTTTATTAGGTCATGCCTACTTGTAGTGCTTGCTCTAAGTTTAATAATTTTTATCAGCTTTCTAGGCTTTATTCATATATGTAAGAAGTGTTTCTGGAAGAAGAGACTATAGCCTGGAATACTAGATTGTATGTACTGTTCGTGACTAATCTTTGGGACTTGCAGGGTGAGGAAGTGGGGTGGAGGAGGAAGGAGGAAAGATAGCATGTGCAATGCAGTAACATTTAACACTTCAGACTTCCTGCATTCCTTGCAAGTCTCAAGATTACAGTCGCAAACAGTAAGTGGTCCATTGTTTCTGGTATCTCGAAAGTACAGCCATGTGTATGTTTACAGTGTGCGATGCCAGAGCAGCTGGAATTGCAACAGCTTGTAGAGTCAGGTGGCAGGAGACTAGATGTAATGGAGGGGGAGAGGGGTGGCAGAGGTAGTACCAATGTCATGGCCAGTAGGTGCCATCCCTGCCCATATCTGGGACTGCTCCTGGCCACACTGTCATCTCTCTTCTTCTCTCTCTGCTCGGTGATAGTCAAGTGGCTGGTGGATGTGCATCCCATGGAACTGGCTGCTTGTCGTTTTGTGGGTGTCCTTCTGCCAGCTCTGCCCATTGTTCTTTGGCGGAAGGAACCTCCTTTCCCACAAGGCAGGCGAATAATGCTCCTTCTGCGCTCATTTGTTGGCACCACTGGCCTCATGCTCAGCTTCTACGCCTTCCGCCACATGCCTCTGGCTGATGCTTCGGTAAATTTTGTATTCTGATTTTAAGTTCCACATCTTTTGGAAATGCCTTGTTTAGTTTAAAGTGGTTACTGTAAATTGTAAATCTCATAGGATTTGGTAGTAACATATACATCTATATAATTGGTTTAATTAAAATTGCTTAAATGCAATGCATAGTAAGGTTACATGTTCTTCCCATGCTTCCTATGAAGTGATGTGAAATTATGTATTGGAAACCAATGTAAAGTGTTATTACAGTAGTATGAGGTGATATGTTTGTATATTTTAAACCAAATAGGATTGCAACTTCAGTTTGTAGTATACAAGAGTATTTATATTTATCTTTTGTCATATTAACCAAAGTAAAAAATGTTGCAGGATTTGTGGCATTTCTTGTTGGATATTTTTGTGATGATCACCATTTGTATATATTTGAATTACTGTGCTTTGTTATTATTTTAGTTGTTCTCTCTTTGTCTATTCTTGCAAATACTTTGTATATACATGTTCCAAATGTGTGTCTTTCTAGAGCTTCATATTTTTGTGAGATCTGACTTTTGTTGCTTGCTGGTTTAGCTTGCTATTCTAGCAGGAAGAGTCCTGAAATCTTTATATCTGTCTTCTGTTTCTCTCCCAACATCACTTTTGAAATGTACATTTAAACCAATTGAACTCTGTACATTTGATTACACTTTGGTTTAGATATTTCTATCACAGCCATTCAAAAAGAATGCATAGTAAAATGTACTTATAATGAAAACCTGAGGGACATGAACGTTTCCCTTTTCAGGCTGGTTTACAAATGTCATTGGTACTGCAACATAAAGAATATGGAACAGTACATACCCCTAGTACTTATGGCCTAAATTACAAGCCAGAATTTGTGCTACATATGCATGCAACACTGTTGATGAGTAGGACATTTTTAAGTGTCTTCTGTCTGTCAAGTAGCTCATTGAAATACGAGTATTCTGCATGTATGGTCAGGCTGAAACATTTCTCATTTGTGACAAGAATTTTCCTTTTCATATAAATTCCAGGAAACAGGCTAATGTGAACAGGAAACATCTCAGTATTCTAGCAGAATACTTTCCATTGAATTCTTTTCTGTTTCTTGTTAAACAATCTTAATTTATTGGAGTTCATTTTACATTGACTTTTACTGTATATTCTCAGGACAAGAGAACATTCTAATAAAAGTAGGTTTCTGTTTCATACAGGTTCCTTTTCAAAAGAAAGAAGTGATCTGCAAAATGTGTGCATAATAATAATAATAATAATAATAATTTATAAAGTGTTATATGAATTTTTAAATTGTCACTACCACTAACACCATTGCTTTTTGCCAACTTCATTATATTATTGGTTGTTTACAGGATGCATTCTGTTGCAGGTTGTGGTGTTCAGTGTTCCAGTATTTGTGGCAATATTTGCTCGGCTTTTCCTGAAGGAGCCGTGCGGTTTGTTCAATGCGGTCAGCGTCTGCCTCACCCTGATTGGTGTTGTACTCATTACACGCCCACCCCTTCTATTTGGCCACAGCATTCCAGCACTCGCTTCCTCTCCAGATCAGGAAGAACAGGATAGTGATGTCTGGGGTGCAGTTGCAGCATTCTCTGCAACACTGTTTGGAGCCAATGCGTATGTCCTCCTGCGTGCTCTTAAAGGCTTACACTTCTCTGTCATTATGACCAACTTTGGCTCATTTGCTCTGGTTCAGACATTGTTTGTAACATGGGCTCTTGGAGCACTCTGCGTTCCACGTTGTGGATTTGATCGGATCCTTGTTGTGGCACTAGCTCTCTTCAGTTTTGGTGGACAGATTCTGCTCACACTAGCTCTTCAGCTGGAACAAGCAGGTCCAGTGGCAATTGCACGGTCTGCTGACATAGTGTTTGCGTTTATATGGCAGGTGCTATTCTTTCAAGAAGTGCCTAACAGATACAGTATTGGTGGAGCAATCCTTGTCACTAGCTCAGTAGTGCTCACTGGTTTACGCAAGTGGGCTCTTGCCCTACCAGAGTCATCCCCTCTTAAGAAGACTCTGGGTGTGCTTGCAAGGTGAAGATATGCAGATACAAGTTGATTTGGTGATTCTCAAGGGAACATTGTTAATGTGTTCTGAATAATTCAGACTGTTGTTATTTTTATTAGTAGTGGTAGTATTGTGTACATTGAGTACTTGCTGCACTCTGTTACCATCATTCTCATCTAACATAAGTGCAGGGATGCCAATCTATGCTATGCTATGACAGATTTGTGGTTTTCTCATTGTGTCTGAGTCATACAACACCAAACCAGAATGATTTGACCTGGGAACCTGGAAGACTGACTATTTTTCTCAGCCTTTTGAAGCAAGTTCTGATACAATACCTTTAAATATTTCAGAATTTTTCAGACACAATTTTTAAGAACTTGCTGTTTTTGATCATTGTCATTGCTTCAGCAGTTGGTTGTTCCATAACAGGCAGTTAGTTGCCATCTTCTGTGTTCACTCATGTGTGAGTGTGGTGGACACTGGTACTGGAACAGGCATTCCATATCAATTTATGTGTCATCTCGGAGATGTGCATCGCCTCATTAGTCACTGTAGTTCCACAGACATGTAATCTCACCTCATAATAACAATATAACCTCAGTAGCTGATAGTGACATTACATAAGCATGTAACCTGTACTGAAGACTGTTCAGAGTTTGTTAGTAAAACAAAAATTGAATAGGGTATACATGATTTAGATAGTAGTTGTGTTGCTGGAAAATGCTGCAGAAAACAAAAAACGTGTAAATTGAGAACTTCTTGTTAAAATTGATTACATTCCTGAGCAGATGTTTTTGAATTTGTAAAATTATATAAACCTGGCATTAAATAACCTTTATGCACCATTACTTCACACAAGCTCTGCTGTGGGCAGTCAAGCTGTCTGACCTCCAGAATGAGTCAGAGTGAGACATAGTTTATGGAATAAACTGTGCATATGTGGGGATAGGGGTCTGCAGTGGCCGCGCGATCCGAGGCGTGGGTCTTCTGCCGCTTGGTCGCTGGGACCGTGGGTTCAAATCCCACTCAAGCCATTGATGTTTGTCCGCGTTTTTCTGTGTTGTGCTGTCCTGTGTACAGGTAGAGGCCGAATGTCTATAGATCAAGCCAACGAAAAGTTTGGACCCGCAGTGCTCAGGCACTTGAAGAACTGGTTATTCCTAGTATCCCAGTATGTGGGGATAACTAACCCCATGGAGCAAAGACCTTAATAAGCTAATAGTTGCTCAGTTATTCTATGGAGCCTGAAGTTTCATTACCATATTCACAAGAGTCCAGATATATGTTGGAGTGTATCACGTAATTATAGGGTGTTCCGAAGAATGAAAATCACATATATATGAAACAAATTATGGTGCAGACAATAAAGACAAAGAGTATTTCATTCTTCAGTAGAAAGATAAGATAGGTCCCACAAAGTGACAGTATTGTCTCTACAACCAATGGGCTGAACAGTGTACATAACTGTCATAGGTAATGAATGCCAAAGAGATTGATGTGTTCCTTGCCCACCATAAACTCAGCTGCAAAACTGAAAGGCCTCTTAGTATTTGTCCATGTGATTGGCATCCCTGCAAAGTATGAAATGTTTAAAATTTCTGCTGTGGTGTATTCTAGTCACTGGGTTCCTGTGTTAAGGTTTAGTTATGACAGTGTGATGATGAACAAGTATATTTACACAGGTTTCTGCACTTATGAGATTGTTTCAGCTTAGTTTCTTATCAGGACTTTTATTATTGTGAATTCATATTTTCTGAATTTCTTAACTGAAAATAAAGTAACGAAAAGCTTGTCAAAACTTCGGAGTATACCTTTGTATCATGTTGGTGGGCAAAACTTAGGAGCAGGTGACCACCATCTTTCCACCCCATTTGTGTCATCTATTTATAATCGTTTATAGATTTTGTACTTTTTTTAATTGCAGGCATTGAAACTAAATCACCACGACCATTATCATATATGTACAAATGATGAGCGCAGTCAGTGATTAAAACCTATGATGTGTCTTACAGGCAAGACTCATGCTCATGTGACAGCAGTGTGAAGCAGAAGCTAATGATGGGTTTGACAACAGGACAGAGTCACCTGCTTATTAGAGTTTGGTTTACCTCACTACACTTCAGACATTATCCATCCTGAAGTGTCCTTAGTTTACTGCTGTAGCATTCATGTTTTTCAGTTGGCAAGTAACATTCATGTATATTGTGTGGGGGTGAGTAGCCATTTCTAGCCATGTACAATACACAGAGAAAGCCATTGGTATCTTGAGAATATTTACATATGTATAGAGACCAGTATATATACATAAAGGCTGAACCTAACCTCATTCCCACCAACACACTTTGAACCAGTTATACAAAGAAGTAGGTGCAATAAAATTGTGAGAGTGCCTCCACAAAAGTTATCCTTTTTAGTATGAAAGCACTGAGAAATACAAAGCTGTACTTTGCCTGTTAGGAATATGCATGGACACTATTCCTACACAGTTTACTGAAAAATATTGATACTACTTTCTCAGCCTACCAAATTGCTTGTACTGCATTCCTAGCAAGAGAGTGGTACCTCATATCAAAGTAGAATTGATGCTGCAAACCTAGTGAGACTGACCAGGTATATACATAGAAACATCATTCCAGGTAAGGTTTTGAAACTCAAATACAGCATTGTGGCTGATTGGCGCCACAACCCAGAAGACAGGAATCTTCAGACACACTGCTGTGAAGATGTCAAATCCTACACACAGGTTGTAGTTTTATTAAGTAAAACAGACTGACTACCTAGATGAAGCGGAAACCTCTTGGGGAAGAAGGAAAAAGAGGAATATTTTCTATCAGTGTTAAAGTAATGGCTATAAACAAGCACATGTAAGAATGCAATTTCAATACCAAAAATATAAATTCTGACCTATAATAGATTACTTATTTTGAACGTTGGTATTGGCACACTTGCTGTACAGCATCAAAACGCAGAGACATTTAAGTCAAATTAGTCTACGAATATAAATAAAATCGGTGCATGCTTTGCTCACTAGAGGAAAAGTTCAAAGTTTGTCGAGGAGGGTGCAGTAAATTAATGGCAATAGCACATAGCTAACAAGAAACTTCCTACAGTTACTTGCACCCTGATGCTTCCTCGCATATCTTTACGTATAGCTAGCAATGCAGCCATGTTATTTTGATTTCAGAGGTAGTTCATACTTCGGTAAGAGATTAACCTTAATTTATGCCTTTCCACAATACGAATGCGTTGCGTCATGTTGCTGCCCCTGGAGCGGGGCTGCTGCGCCATCTGGTGGTGAAGGCTATAACTAATGGGCCCGCGAAACATTTTCTGACCCGTATACCTCCTCGCATATCCTATTCCCCGGATACAAGCCTGGAAGTTGAAAGTTGCATACATTAAGCTGCAGCGCCATCTGGTGGCAAAAGTTTGAACTAATGGGCCCGCGAAACATTTTCTGACCCGTATACCTCCTCGCATATCCTATTCCCCGGATACAATCCTCGTAACCTAAAGTTGCACACATTAAGATGCAGCGCCCTCTGGCGTCAAACATTTGAACTAATGGGCCCGCGAAAATTTTCTGGCCAAGTGCATTGCACCGCCACCTAGCGGGAAAAATGTCAACTAATGACCATAAATTTTTTCCGGCCCGGTAGATTAGTTCACATTTTTGCCACCAGAGGGCGCTGCGCTTTAAATTTCCTTTGGCTCGGTAGATTAGTTGAAATTTTTGCCACCAGAGGGCGCTGCAACTTAATGTGTGCAACTTTAAGTTTCCAGGATTGTATCCGGGGAATAGGATATGCGAGGAGGTATACGGGACAGCAAATTTTCGCGGGCCCATTAGTTCAAACGTTTGCCACCAGAGGGCGCTGCAACTTAATGTGTGCAACTTTAAATTTCCAGGATTGTATCCGGGGAATAGGATATGCGAGGAGGTATAAGGGCCAGAAAATGTTTCGCGGGCCCATTAGTTATAGCCTTCGCCACCAGATGGCGCAGCAGCCCCCTCCAGGGGTAGCAACATGACGTTACGTATTCATATTGTGGAAAGCCATAAATTTAGGTTAAGTAATAACGCTTACCGAAGTATTTGTGCCATTTTCTGTATCTTTCCCTTAAATTTAAATTTAGTGCTATTTTGAAAAATCTGCAAAAGTACTATTATGAACATAAAGATTTGAGAAGGCATAACTTTTATTTTTAACATTTTGCATTATGATGAATATGTACCCAAATACTGTAAATTTTTTTCTGACTGCAGTAGGATGGCTTGCAGGTTTTCCTGAATCTGCCAGCGTACCTTTGGGCTCATTATTTCACTAGCCAACAGACTGTCAGCTTCTGATGAAGGTTTGTGAGATTGTTAGCTGCAAACAGCTTTGCAACAACATATCTGTATGTGTTACAAATAAAGATAAAACCAGTTAAGTATAAATTATTGCAAAGAATGCATTTGGAAAATAAAGAGTGAAATTTAAAAATAAAATACTCAGAACACTTTATTCTAAATAAGTTAAATGAAAAGGTTATATGCAATGGTTCATACCCTTCAACCGCGTTGTTAAAGTGAGTAAACAGAGGGACTAGAAGCAAAACAAAAGTTTTTCAAAGGCCTTCCATAAGCATAGCATTATTAAAAAGTACATGTGAAGTGAATTCAAGCACATTTGTAACTGATAACACTTCTGACAAAATTCTTTGCTAGTTCTGACTGAATACATTTTACCCAAAACCTGTAGTATCTGAAACAAATCAAAGTACAATAGAAGAGTGCACAAATTAGGAGATTCATAATTAGTAAACTTTATTTATTATATGGGTAATCAAATCAAGGATGCAGAGGTTGACAGGATTACATATCATTTCAATCACACTGTTTAAAAGGGATTCTAGAAGACTTTTTTTATGATAGAC